TACTGGAAACAAAAAAACTTGCCTTCAATGGATGAATGGAGAAATAAGGTCTCTAACCTGGCGGAGATGGCAAAAATCTCCGCGTATTTGAAAGATCAATATCAGGAAAGATATATTAAAATATGGGAAAGATGGATAGTTTATATACAGAAGAGATATGAGATAAAAAATTATCATGTAGGTTATGAATAAAAATTTTCCTTATGTTAGTAGAATGAATGTTATGAAGGGGGTTAAAGAAATTAGGATGTTGTTTATTTTAAAACTAGAGAGTATGGTAGATAAGTTGTGGATATTATAATGGCTTGGTAACCCTGTGTTCAGTTCTGGGAAGTGAGGGAGGGGAAGGGGGGGAAAGGGAGGGGGGGATAATGGGGTGGGGGGAGAGTCGGGATGGTATTATAAGTATGCATTAATAGTTATATAACTAAAATGTGTAATGTTAGAATTGAAATGTATGTATGTTAATGCATTTTATGTTTGAAAGATAATTTTTTCTACTTTAAAAATAAAAATTTTCAAAAAAAAATAAAAAAATAAAATTAAATAAAATTAAAAAAAAACAAATAAATAAAAAAGAAAATAAATAAATAAATAAAAATAAAAAAAAATTAAAAAAAGATTACAGATACTTGTCTTGAAAAGAGAAACTAGCTAACTGATAATCTGTGGCTTGGAATATAATTTGTCTTCTGATGCCTATGCTTGTTAGACGTCCATCCTTATAGTTAAATGGTTACTGTCAGACATTAAAGAAGTTTTCATTGGCTCAGAGAAAGTTTTCTGAGTAGAAAAGAAGCTACTTTCATCCACTTACTGTCAGGTCCACATATGCAAATCCAATTAAAGTCAGTTATTGCTAAATAGTCTATGCCAGTGGTGGCGAACCTATGGCACGCGTGCCAGAGGCAGCACTCAGAGCCCTCTCTGTGGGCACACACACTGTCGCCCCAATACCATCTCCCCCAATGGCCCCTCCTCACCAGCAGCCCCCCTGGAGGAGAGTCGCCCCCAGGTGTGGCCCACGTGGAGCAGCACAGACAAGGACATGACAGCCAGGCAGCAGGAACAAGACTCCACCCTCACGCCCCATTGCACACAGATGATGCTGCAGGGTGTGGGCAGAGGGCAAGGCCACAATGGCACTGCAGAGCTGCCTGGGCAATCTGAGGCAGGCCGTGGAAGTGGTGGGTGGCCCGGTGGGTGGGCAGGGGTGGAGCGGGGGCAGGATGGGGGTGGGTTGGGCAGGGGCAGAGCAGGGACAGATGGTGCAGAGCAGGGGCAGGGTGGTTTTGGGGCACGCAGTTTCTAAAAGGTTCACCATCACTGGTCTATGCTATCTCAATTAACAGTTACCACCTGCCTGGTAAGGGGCCATAGAATTCAAGGTGGGGTGGATTTAGTCCACTTGTGGCTAGTAGGGATTCTATACTGATCCCTCTTTTAACTCCACCCCCAGATTCTGGCACTTTTACACATACATCTTTTAGGCAAGTGATCCTGATGTATGCATAATGGGTTATTATAATTTTACAACTTTAATATGTATGTTTTTATATTTTAGGCTACTGACCCAGATGCTGGAGTAAATGGCCAAGTCCATTACAGTTTAGCAAACTTTAATAATGTTTTCCGCATAACATCCAATGGTAGTATTTACACGTCAGTGAAACTAAACAGAGAAAAAAAAGATTATTATGAACTCATTGCTGAAGTAACAGATGGAGCTGTGGATGCACGTCGTACAACATTAACTCTGGGAATCAGAGTCCTGGATATTGATGACAACAGTCCTGTGTTCACAAACACCTCCTATACTGTTTCAATTCCCGAAAGCCTGGCCCCAGGCACAGTAATCCTTCATTTAGAGGTAAAGAAGACATGAGTTTCAAAAGATGGTGGCCAAGAAAATGTGCCATAAAGTATGCATGTATGTTTGTGTGTCATTGAGTCAGACTTGACTCTTAGTAATTGCATGGACGGGTCAATCCAGTTTACTATGCAACATTTTTGGCTTGCTCTTGTTTGCTTCCTAGAACAGACAAAGAGTAATTGTCCCAAAGTCACCTGCCTCAGAATTAAAACTGTCTCCTGGTTTCTAGTCTAGCACTTTTAATCACCACATCAAACTGCCTCTTCATATAACTTTACCATATATATATAAAGATTCATTCAGTTGCAAAAAAAGAATAAGTAATATCCTTATCACATGTTTCCAGACTATATTCAAGATTTGTAATCTGTAGAAAACAAAGAAAAAACAATTACTAAAATATCAGGAGACTTTATACTAAATTAGTTAACCATGATTTTCAGTATTTTAATTTTCAGTATTTTAAATCAGAAAAAACTACTAACATTCCTTGAACCATCATTAGAAATATTTCCAATCCTAAATTAAATTAAATTAAATTAAATTAAATTAAATTAAATTAAATTAAATAATTAAATTAAATTAAATTAAATTAAATTAAATTAAATTAAATTAAATTAAATTAAATTAAATTAAATTAAATTATTAAATTAATTAAATTAAATTATTATAGCTTTGTGCTGTTATGTCAGTCTTGACTTCTGGCAACAAATCAAGTCACTGGCCCAAGGTCTTTCAGGTAGCTTCATACCTAGGTTTCCTATTTCTCATCTATAGGTTTAACCACCACTCCAAACTGGCTCTCAGCTAAATTTTGAATCTGTAGAGGCTATTTAAATTTCTATTTTGACACCAGTATAATATAATTTGATATATTTATTTTTATGACTTTAATTCTTAAAAAATGAAAGGAAAGCATCAATCATAAATAGAGTCTGCGTTAACAATGGAGCATTTGTGGCTACCGTCTTGTTATGTTTGCCAAAATATCCTCCCATTTAAAAAAAAAAAGTCAGTCTCTTGAAACTACCAAATCTCATGAGATATGATGATAATCCAGACATTTTTATACAATTGGTGTTTTTATTTATTAGCAATTCTGCCATCATACAACATGTGATGATATCCAGCTCCTGAAAGTATTCCTCATTCTTGATACTTTGGTTTGATACCTTCATATAGATAAATGGGTTTGAGGGAGATTATTTTTTGGAGAAGTGTTTGTGTGTGTGTGTGTGTGTGTGTGCGCGCACACACGCACATGTGTGCATGTGTGTATCATGCATAGACATGAAATCAGTGTTGCAAAAATGTTTTGGGGGGACAGATATTAGGTTTTAGTGATGAAATTTGTAAACCCTAAAATCCCGTTCTTCATTTCCTCAAGGCTAAGGATGTTGACCTTGGTTCCAATATTACCTATGGAATACGAAGTCAGGAACCACTCCAGTTTTTTGCACTGAACAAATTTACAGGAGAACTGTCACTTCAGAAGTCCTTGGATTTTGAGTCCTTTTCTGGCACAGAAGCAATATTCACTTTTTTAGTCGAAGCCTTTGATATCGAAGGAGCAATGCCTCCAGGCCTTGCTACTGTCACTGTGAGAATAAAGGTAAGAATTACATTCCCTCTCCTTCCCTTGTCTAGTCCTATAATCTCTGCTCAGTAATGCTTTCAAACAAGACCCAGATGCATTTTAAGAAGGATGAAAAAATATCCCAGAGAAGACTTCTTTTTCTTTTGTAATCTTGATTCCATTTCATTCATATAGGCCGACTTTATAAGAAAAACATTCAAATTTATAATGCATTTCATTACATAATTAAAGAACTATTTCTTGGTTCATGGATCTGTGAGCTACAAAATTGAATGGGTGAATCTTTTAAAATCCCCCATAGATGGAAAGAAACCTTTGAGTGAAGTGGCAATATCTATATTACAGTTTAAGTCCTCAGAAATCTACAGTTTTATTATCTTTAATTAGGAACAAGCTGCTTGTATGAACTGGACTAACATTCTAGTTTCTGTTATTATGACATTCTAACTTTTTCTTCATAACATATCTAATCTGCTCTTAAAAATAGAAATGTTTCTGCTTTTATGAGTTGCTGTGCAATCTGCTTATCTTTATCATGGCAGCTTTGAGTGGCTCTTCACTTGAATGTTTAGGTATATATTCCCAATATGTACAAAGGTGATAGTAAAAAGCATGAATGGTCCAAACTCATATTTACAAATATATGTCAAGTTAGTATGCAGTACAATCCTGTTGCTGAATTATATGTATTTGCTTATGTATGATGTGTGCAATAGCTGTAACACCTATTTGTGAAATACTGAAAATTGTATCCATGTTGTCATTGGGCTTACATATAGGTATAAGTATGTTTTTGGAGCGGATTGAATGTGACATCACCTGTGAAATTAATCTTCTAGGTTCTTTCTTATATCTGGAAGATATTTTATTGCTTTTTAAAATTGTTTTATTGTTAAGATGGCGGCACCTGGATCAGCTGCGGCTGCATTGGCTCTTGAAGGTGAAAAGTTTTTGGAGGGATATAGGCCACATGATCGGGAAGGTTTTAATATGTGTGAGCAACATAGTGGGACTAAGCTAACATATGACCGACAATCTTTGCTAGTATGGCGAGTTTTTAGCTGTTTCGGAACTGTTGGTGAGATCATTAAAAGTCATTTGTGCTGTTTGAAATTGTTCTGACTGCTGGCACAGCGATGGATTCTACTGCAAATCAGGGCTGTTTACGAAGGAGGCAGAGGAGGAGAGGTCCGGGGGCTTATGGAGCAAAGGAATTGGATGAGGCTGTCGGCAGACCCAGAAGAAGGGAGAGAGGCTTTTGGAGAACTTGGAGGTGGTGGCAGTGTGCTCCAGGGGTGAAAAGGAGTGAGGCCCCTTTAAAGAAAAGGTGGAAGAGACAGGATCAGAAAAAGGAAAGGAGGCAAGGTTGTCGTGAAGGAATACAAGCTAATTTGAGGGTTAATCCACATGGAGCTCAATTTCTATCTGTACTATTTGCCATCGTTCGTGTCTCTAGAGACTAAAATGGATGTTCTAAAACTTGAGCTGGTCACGAACAAGGAGTATATATCGGAGAAGGTGGCCCTTTGAGAGCTGTATGCAATGAAATTTCATTTTGATGTATGCCGATTGGTGTAAATTCAAAGTGACAATAAAGTTATTATTATTGTTATTATTTTTCCTTTTTCTGTGGTTGTCAATCAAGAAAATGCAAGCAGACTATAGGTGCTCCAATTAATTTAACAAATTGTCTGAATTTGTTTGTTTTCAAACAAAGATAATAAAAGTGCCTAAATATGTTTGCAGGATAGTTAATATAGCATTCACCAGTCTCATACAGGGCTATTTTTAATGGCATAGTCAATGGAGAAATATAATTGTTTCAACACATGGAAAACTTGTAACATGGAGACAATTTCCTGTGTATCTTGTCCAATAATTTTTTTCAAATCTATTTCTATAGAGTATCAAAGATCTAATTTTATGGAAGATAGATTGATTGGAATTTCTTAATACTGCATTTTGTTCAATATAAAAAATAACTAATAGAAATTCTGCTTAGATCCATTCTTGCTACTTCATACTCCAAATGTTAAGAAATCATTATCCATTATAATTGCCATTGCCCATCTTTCCTAAATTTCGATGCTCTTAAATTTTTCTTTCAAATATTAACATGAACAGTGAGCTTATTTCTTTATTCATAATAAGAAAGCTGTATGTAGCTTTCTATAGTTCTATCATCTTTTACCATTTTACCATTCTAATTGTATGAGATGTACTGGAGCAATCAATAACTGGAGAAACACACACACACAACACACACAGGTGGTTGCATCATCCTTCAGAATCATTTGGGAAAAGATGGGGAAAAGGAATCAAATGCTTTGCAGAATTATCAATTCTCTTGCTTGTAATTTTCTTTTTTAAAGCATGGAGGAAAGCACAAGGTATTTGATATCAATCAATATGGAAGACCTAGGGCTCTTTGCTATAACACGATTAAAATGCTTTCCTCCCAGATCTTCAACCTTGACAATTTCAGAAAAATGAGAGGTTCACTAAAGGATTAGAACCCAAAGCTGATGAAGAAATGGAAATGTTTGCTTGAAGACAAATATGATAGTATTCTTCAAATACATGAAACAATGGTATTAAGTCCCAAAGAAGATTCACCCGCTATCTTTATTCATGCATAAGTTTGGTTCTAAATATCTGTCTTGCATGATTGCCTGAGGGAAATTCTTTCCAGTAGTCTTTGCTTATTTTCCTATGTATTTCATTCCATCGCATGAGTGATGGTTGTGCTGAACATCAATTGCAGGAAATAGTGAGCATAAGGATAACTCTGGCCCTCAGTTGATGTGTCAAAGAGCTACAATAGAATAGTCAGAATAAAATAACACATAAAAATATGACATACACTGCTATAGAGGTATATTAATTATCAATGCAAGTATAAACCTAAAATATTGTAGACTATGAATTTATACATATATATATATATATATATATATATATATTCGTAGATTTTCACGGGTACAGGTATGCAGGTCTTGGTGTATTCGGGTCTTTTCCCCTGTAAGATTGAGAGTATCTTGGCGACGTTTCGACGAGGTCCCACTTGTCATCTTCAGGCTGGAGTCTTCGGCTTCAGGCTGGAGTCTTCAGCTTCTGTGTGAGCAAAGTGTGATTGGAGCTGCCGTCTCTCTATAAATACTGATGGGGGTGGGTGGATATATATATATAATGTGTGTAGGTCTTTGGTTATTCGGATTTTCTCCCACGTAAAATTGGAAGTGTCTTGGCGACGTTTCGACGAAGTCCCATTAGTCATCTTCAGGCTGGTGTTTTCAGCTTCGTGCTTCTTACTCCTAGAAGCACGAAGCTGAAAACACCAGCCTGAAGATGACGAATGGGACTTCGTCGAAACGTCGCCAAGACACTTCCAATTTTACGTGGGAGAAAACTCGAATAACCAAAGACCTACATACAAACACCCGCGAAAACCTCAGAAAACATATATATATATACTGTAACAACGAGTAAACATGAACACCAGGAAAAATTTTAAACTGGAAAAAGTTTAATAAATACCAAGCTTTCGTCGGAAAACTACCGACATCGTCAGGGCTTAATGTCAGTCAATGGGAGTGACTTTTATAGAGCAGTCAACATTTGCACTCAGCTCCTGGACCTCGTCACCGATTGGGCTGTGTTTTGGATGCATCTTTAGCGTTGATCAGTGCTGTATTTGTTCTTTTTCTTTTACTCCCCCTGCCTGTGTGTGCCTCACTGTTTATCCCCTCCCCACAGATTCCTGAATTAAGTGAGTTTCTTCCCCCCCCTTTTTTGGCTAGCCGTTATCTCCGTAGCTCCCCAGTTATTTTCCCCTCTTGTGTTGTCTCTTTCCTTGCCAAAGGTTTCTAGATACGATGTACTCCTTTCCCCCTCTTTCTTGCTGGGTACGTCCTCCTTCCCCCCCCAGCTGTTTTTCACCCCATTGGGCTGAGTGATGGGGGTATTCTCCTGCTCCTCGCCTTCCATTCCTCCCCCCCCATCTTCGTAGGTGCGATCTGAGCATGCGTCACCTCTCTCGGACTCCCCTCCCTTCCCCCCGCTTTTGGCGTTCTTTACCCTCGTACCATCTCGGACGTCGCATAGTGGTTTTCATTGAGGTCCGCCGCTCCAGCCTAATGTGGGATGTCCGTGTTTACCTCCCACGGGGGCACCATCGCGTTGCCTGTGTAAGTTCACCTGTTCTCCACCCGTGGGTCTATGTCCGCCTATCAGTTGGGCTGGTGGAGTGACTTCACCCTCTTTTAGGTGCGATCGTGTAATTGCCAACACCACGTCTAGAAGGTCCCCCCCCCTGCGTCTTCACCATCTCTGTGTCTCAACGGCACGGCACACACACCACTGACATGGCTATCATCCACCGGACAGCCCAGGGTCTTCATCGTGGGGGTCCGCCAGTGTGCTCCAGTCACCATCCCCTCATTGGGAGATACTACTCCTTCCGGATGTTTTAGGGGGTGTGGGGTGGGTGGTTGTGTATACTCCACGCCCTCAATGTTTGATGCGCCGGACAGAGTTCAATGTGTCGATTGATTGAATCCCTATTGGAGAGCCAAGCCTCTTTAAGTAGCCAGCCCCCTTTAGTGGTATCGCTGGACAGGATATGTACCTTATTGAAATCAAATTGGTGGCCAAACTCAGCCATATGCGTCCAGACCTGTGAATATTGCTCACCCCTTTTTATAGCTAATTTATGCTCATAGATCCGAGTTTTTAGTCTCTTAGAGGTCTCTCCCACGTAGTTGCTGGGGCAGTCCTTACAATCAATCTTGTATACCACCGCAGACTGTTCCATGTTGGGGAGTGGGTCCTTAGGGCGCATAATCTTGGAGCGCAGTGTCTGGTTAGGTCTATGGGCCGCTTTCACGTTGTGGGGGGCTAGTAGTCTGGCTGTCGCTTCGGAGACATTATTGATGTAGGGGAGGGAGATGCGTGTAGTCTGTGATGATGGTTTGATGATTTGCCGGCTCTCCTGGGGTTCAGGTGGTATGCTGTGG